CCCCCCAAGCGTTTAAAGGTCTGATGATGTGTTGGACAGAGGTGACCCACGTGGTGAAGGTGGTCATTGCGGATCACCAGATCTCGGGGAAACGCGGAGGGGATGCCGGCAGGCTTTTCATCACTCTTTTCGGCTCTCTTGGCTCTTCTTCCAGATCGCGGCTCGGGGATGAGTATGCATATCATTTTCTCCTGCATATTGACTCAGTAGTGGGATTTTCTTTTTTTCTTCTTAAATCAGGAAGCACTTCCGAATCTTTGCTCGATTCAAATTCAGGAAAATTTCCGGCTTCTTCTATCTTCTTCACGCACTTTAATCGCATTAAATCAGGAACCAAAACTAATGGGGCTCTGAGTCGGACTATCCTAAACAAGTTAGGGAGCTCCAAGGTTTTAAAATTATTTTTTCAATATTATCCTCTCCAAGATGAAGGTGACGAATACATTGGCAAAGGACGAAATATGGTCAAATAAATCCTAATCGCTTTCCTGATGTGTGAGTAATATTATTTCAAAATCGAGAAAGCATCTAAATTAATATAACACTTTTTGAATGCTAGTATTTCCTATAATTACAACGTACATATATTATTTCAATTATTTTTTTTCCTTGATATATTTCAATGAGCCTAAGAGGGACTTTAAACAACAAGTTGCTCCACCTCCACCTTGCCCCCAAAAAGGTTCTTGATCCGTTTGCATCAACATGTATGAGATTGAACAGGTGATTTTTTTTTAAGCGGTGAAATCTTTAGGAGACAGAATATGGGAGGATGCGAAACAAATCGTTCGCAGGAAGTTAACAATAGAATAAATTAAGTTTCCTACTCGTATTATCTTATAATCCTCTGCTCGTCTTAGGAGCAGTCCCGTGCCAATCAGATAATAGAAAATTTATTTTATTTTGGCTCCCAGTAGGGAGTCTTTCGTGTTCGTATTTCAGTTTCGAGAATGCAGCATTTCTCACTCGAAATTTAAATTCATTGCGCCAGTTTTTCTGGAAGTTTCGTATGTGCTATAGTCTACTATTATTAAGGGCAAGTAACTCTCGTTGCTTCCATCGTAGACAATCGCTAAATATGCTTCCAGGCATTTGAATTACTGAGTGGGAAAAGGTACTGGAAATTTTTGCTTTTGATAGAAGGTGATTGATCTTGTAGAGAGGTGTGGTTCGAGCCAGGCCAAGAATTAAGTTTTTCGGTCGCATCCCCTGAGATTGGGGGAATCGAGGAGATACTCGTCCAATGGGAACACAAAGAAGTGAAGGATTCCGAGACCGAGCAATTGCACTCCCAACCGAGGATAATCATCGACCGAGTCGTCGTTCGCACCCTCGAGCACCGCGCCACGTGAGTCCCGTGTGCCTCCCTCTGCGTGCATCGTCCCAGGATGCAACATCCACGCTTTATGAACGCGCAGGGCGAGTTTCTGCGGCCGGGGTCGAGAGTTGGCGTCGGGGGAGAAGGCGTTAATGAGACGCGATGACAATGGAGAATGCTCGGAGAGATCCCAACCCAAGGCCAGTCGATCGCAATTGAACTCCCTTTTCGACTCTCGACTGGAGAAAAATGCCTAGGGCTTCTTCAAACCAGTGCCCAAACTCAACGGACCCAAACGTTCCTCACCGACGCAGATGGACGCGAATTACGTCTCGAAAGACACCATGACGGATTCGGGCTTACACCGAGTGGGTTTCCATTTTAAAAATGCGTTCCAGCTGGACTTGTGTAATTATTATCTCCAACTCTGAATTTATTCTTTATAAGTTGTTCTTGAAAGAGGCTGAATTAGTGATATATCTCAGGCGTTGGTCACCATTTATATGAAAGAGAAAGAACCGGATGTTGGTCCCATTGGTCCCATGTCATTGGCATTCAATCCTGACTTGAATGTTAAAAATACATTGATTGTCCTTGAACATGAATATTAATTATGCGTTTATTTTTTCATCATTCCAAATTCACTACATGAGAAGGAGCTGAAGAATTGCCTCTGAGCAATGCGTGGTCTGCTTTCGAATGCTCGGATGAAAGGAACCTTTCTCGCACTTTCGCACGAATTCCCAGATATTTTGCCTCATGAGTGGTTCTTCCATCGACGTGGAAATCCAGAAGCAATTTCCGCAAGAACTGCATGGAAAAATGAAATCTTGACCGCGCCAGAGAGTCTCGGCTGATTGCAGAGCAACTCGGCGATGGATCAGCAGAGCTTCAGTCGCGTCTTCAAAATACTCGAAATGCTTAAAAATACTCTTGAAAAATGTGTGTCCTGAGGCGACGAATCTCGAAGGTAAATTATATCATGAAATCAAGAACGACTCAAGTACTCAATTTTTCCTTTCTCTCTTTTGCTGGGCCAAGGAATTCCTAGAAATGCTTTCCACCTCCCCCCCCCCCCCCCCC